CTTTCTTTTGATAACTTTTTGTTGGCAGCTGGCATTAGTTTTCTATTTAAAAAATAGTGACGTCAAAGACTCATAAAACATAGAATCTGTTTTTAAATGGCAAATTATTTTGGAAATCCCAGAAATCTTATAAAAAGTAAGGCTAGGAGACAGAAACTAAGTGAAAGAAGAAAAAAACAATATGGAAAACTAAGTGTTTGTGAACCAACTTAGAATGAGAGCTTAACTGTAGCTATCTTTCCATGGAATTTTTTCTTTTTTTAGAAATGGGGTCTCTTGCTACGTTGCTTAGACTGGAGCGCAGTGGCTATTCACAGGCACAATCACAGTGCACTGTGGCCTCAAACTCCTGGCCTCAAGCAATCCTCCTGTCTCAGCCTCCCCAATAGCTGGGGCAACAGGCATGTGCCACTGTGCCAGCTATGGACTCTTTTTGTTCTTTTTCTTTTATAGACATTATCTTTGTTTGGCTGAACCATTCTTTTAAACCTGATCAGATCTCACTTGCATGAGATATCTTGTGCTGAAATATTTTGAGTTACACTCAAAAAATACCTTTGGCATGTTTCACCAACATTTATTTTGCAGTGGCCACTAACCCATTCATCTTTTTTATTATGTCACTGTACCCATCGTATATTTTTTTCAATTTCCCCAAGTCAATGAAATTATAAGTTATCCCTTTGAGGTAGTATTTTTAAACAGCATTAAATATGTTAGGACCTTTAGGATACCATTTTTATTTCCTTTTAAAGTACATGTCAATACAATTTTGTAGAATAGCAATGCCTAGACTATATATTGGCAACTAAATGAATCAATATAATTATTATTTTAACATAGATTAAAATATAGAGATCTCTTATATCAAAACATTTAGCAGATTTTTCAAATATGAGAACTGATAAAAACTTTCAGTCCTACCAAAGTACAAAGACATTACGCTCACCAAGACAAGAGAGGATGTAGCATCTTTTGCAATCTGGATAGGCTGAGGATTTCCCAAATAATCAAGTCCTGCTTCTTTTTTGCTTAATAGTTCTTCCTTCAATCAATCTCTTTCTCTCACATTTTATAATAAATAGCAAGGAAAAAAAAAAACCAGGCCATACCTTCACCACTTTGCTTAAAAATCTTCTCAGCTAAATATCCCAGATCGTTATTTCCACCTATGTATGAGACATAATTCAGCTAAGCTCTCTGCCTCTACGCACTATGAATATAGTTTCCTCCACTTTCCAGTAACACTTTCCTCATCTCCATCTAAGTTCTAGCCAGTAGGACTTTTAAAGTCCATATTTGTACCAGCAATGTGTTCATGATGATTTATATATTCCCAAAAAATGCGATAGGCTTTCTCTACCACGCTCCTTACTTTCTTCTGAGGTCTCACTAGCAGAGTTGACAACTATATTTTTATTAACAGCGTGCTCAAGGAAAGCTAGGCTTTTTAAATGCTGGCTCCACAAAATACTTCCAGCCTCTATTCTTGCCCACTCCCAAAGGCACTTTCACATTTTCAATAATTTGCACAGCAGTACTCACTTCTCAGTATCAAAATCTCTATAGTTTCTTATTGCTGCTGCAACAACAACTTACCTCCACCTTAATGCTTAAAACAACACAAATTTATTATCTTACACGTGTGGAAGTCACAAGTTTGAAATGAGTCTCACTGGAGCCCCTCCAAAACCAAACTGAAGGCAAGGCTGCCTTCTTTTCTGAAGAGTCTAAGGGAGAATAATTTGCTATCTAGTTTCTGCACACATCCCTTGGCTAAACCCCTTTCCATCTCCAAAGCCAGCAATTGCTGGTCAAGTCTTGCTCACGTTGCATCCCTCCGACTCTGTCCCTGACCCTGACTCCCTTGCCTCTTTCTTTCTTTTATAAGGACTCTTATGACCACATTGGGGGTCACCAAGATAAGCTGAAATAATCTCTCCATCTCAAGATTAACTGATTAGCAACCCTAATTCCACATGCATCCTTAATTCCCCCTTACTACATAATAAAGAATATTCACAGGTTCTGAGGATTCACATGTGGCTATCTTAGGAGGGTCATTACTTTGTCTGCCACTCTATTTCATTTCTGTCACCATCAGAGTCTTTTCAAGTCCAGACTACATCATGAATGCCTATAGCAGGACTAGACATTTATGGACTCCAACCTCATATGATCTGCTGTTCCTAATAAAAACTCCACATTCCTAAAGAGACGACTTGGAGTACCACCATGGTTCTAATTATCATAAGTTACGGTGTAAAATGTATCTAACCAGGTGTGTTAAAACAAATAGAAAATAAATAATACTAAGAAGAAGAGGAGGAAATCAAGTAATGAAGAGGTAGAAGTTTATCTTATTTTTCTTATGTTTGATAGGCTATTTGGTCAATAGCACAATTAGTGGTTTGATTGTTTGCTAAAATAAAGAGAAGTTTTGCTCCTGACATTACACACACACACACACACAAAATGCTTCTCTCATTTTTACACCCTTGCTATTTCTTTCTCTCTGTCTCTCTCTCTCTGTCTCTCTCTCTGTCTGTCTCTCTCTCTCTCTCTCAATTCCTTTTGGTTTATGAATTTTTTAAGGTCCATGAAGTCAAAAGAGGTGAACCTATTAGTCCTGTTACTGTATTTGAACTGACAGGGCAATACTAACCCAGAAAAATAAAGATTCTGGTTTTAAAAATTCCTGGATTTAGAAAGATTCAGAAAACCTGTTTGGGGGCTCAGCATACTTAACAAGTTGACTTTAGAACAGTGCTTTCCAAACTTTAATAAACTTGGGAATCACCTGAAGATTTGTTAAATGAATATTATGATTCAGTGGGTTTGGGGTGGGTCCTGAGGTTCTTTATTTCTAAAAAGATTGGAAGTTATACAGATACTGCTGATACACAAACCACGCCCTGAGTAGGAAGGATTTAGATCATATATCTCTGGTTGCCATTAGCAGTTCACTTTCAAGTATGAAAATAATGTACAATTGAAAGCTTCTGTACTGCTGTCAATTGTGAGTACAAGAAAAGCAAACGATCTTGAGGAGAAACACAAATACCTTGAGCTTTTCTGCCAGAACGAGCCAACAAGGCTAGGGAGGATTGCTTTCTACTAAATAAGTGTCTTTGTTAACATTTTTATTAAGTTGTCGACAATGACAACTATCCTATTCTTAATAAAGTAGAGACAAGTAAGTTTTAACCTACAAGTCAACCATAAGATAGAGGAATGAACCTGGAAGATGATGAAATGTTCAGATATTCATTTATCTGCCCAGTCATTTTACTGAATCCCTATTATGAACCATGTTTACTGCTAGGCAATTGGGCTGCAACAATTAGACTTCCCTCACATCAAGGAACACTTGGTACTTTTTTAGGGCACAGCAAACATCCAGATTAGAGACTGTCTCTTGCAATCATGTTTTGGTGGTTTCAGCCCCCTTAAAATGGTTACCTCCTCCACCTACCCCATTGCCTGACACAAAGGATTGGAGGAGAAGGAGGTAAGAGACTCTCCAGTTAAGAGTTTGCCCTTGGTAAAACTAAGTAGCTCCTGGCAGAAATTACTGGGGTTAAACATAGTACACATCAAGGAGTTGGGTCTATAAACTTTGGGGGATGGTAAAGGCAGAAATGACCATTCATTAAACAAGTCATGTTCCAGAAGGAAAGGAATACTGAGAATAGTAATGTCACTAGGGGAGAGCAACAACAGCAAAAGAGTCTTTATAAAAGCCTACAAATGGTGACAACTAGAGGATAGACAGACTAGGGCATCTGGGCCCAAACTCTGTTTCCATCATATCTTCCTATACTTTTCTTTATGTACTTTTCTTTTCTACCAGATGGTACCACTCCTTGTTTCTTGAATACTAGTGCCATGCCTTCTCACCTCCATGTGCTTGCTCACAGGTTTTCCTCTGTCAGAAACAAAACAAAGCAAAACAAACTTTCCTCTATTTCATCTTTTTTTCCAAATATGACCAATCCTTTAAGACCTAATTAAAATGCTTTTCCTTTATGAAGCATTTTCCCTGCCAGAAGGTATCTCTTTTCTCTTTTTCCTCTGAACCGTCATATTATTTAATTTACTTTTTAAAAAGTATGATTCCCCCCCCCCTTTTACTTAGGAGTTACTGTGTATTTTTTTTTAAATTTTTCTTTCTAGATCTTAAGTTCTAAGTACTCTGAATACAAATGCTTCATGGATATAAGATGGTATCATGGATTAGAAGTAGAAGAAGAGAAGCTTCTGAGATGGCAGAAAAAATAAAAACTGCAACCCAACAGCTCTGAACTTGTACCTGATGTTAAAACAAAAGTTTCTCTGGCTACTGTATTTATATTACTGACTCTTGTGACTATTTCAATGCCTTTTTTTTTTCTGATTCTGATTAATGTTTGATATGAGGCAAACACAGTAGTAGGCAAGAATGGGGGAAAGTTTGCAAATGCCATGAGCTTAAATGGGACCAGATTAGATGGTGGGTTTGGTAAGCATTTTTAGGGGGACATAACCATGAACAATTTGTCTCAAAGTTCCTGGGTTTGAAAAGGGATCGCATAAAGATCATGATTAATTGTGAACGAACAATGGAAAACATGACAGGATTTTTTTAAAAGCCAGAAAGGCAACCAAAAACGTTAACATCAGAACACACACATATATAACAAATAGAACTAAATGTATTGAACCAAGCAGAAGCTGGACCTTACTCAAAAAGATGTACAATCTCTGCAACCATAGAATTGCATCTGCAAAGAGATTAGCTTCCAACCATGAAAACTAGGACAAGAAAACCATCCGTGCAGATGTCAACTTCCCAGCGGAAATGTTGGAATTTTTGACTGTGGAAAAATACAATTTTTCCAGACCAGTGGATAGTGAAGATGTGTTTTTGTTTTTATTTTTAAGTGGACCGAATTTTGCTACAGCCCCCTCCCTCTTTTTCCTTTCTTCTTCTTTGTCCCCTTCCCCTCGGTCTCTGTCTCCACATAGTAATTTCTAGGATGGCGATTGGGTGGCTGTGGAAAGCAGGACTCGGTTCCCCTGCCCTAGTGTGAGCGCAGTGGGTGGGACTCAGCACAGAGTCAGTTTTCCGCCAGCAGGTTTCCATGCAGAGTTTTCCTACACTTTCCCTCCGCTAGAGCAGCCCTCGGCCAGGAGAGCGGCGGGGAGGACACCTGTGGGGAGGGAGTGCCGCCGCGGGCAGCAGGGGGGCCGGGCCCTGCGGTGACCTCACCATGGTGCGTTTTGGCCGCTACTTTCTTTTTCAGTCTTTCAGTGCAGAGAAGGGGAAGAGGCAGGGAGCGGTCTGAAAAGTCGAATGCTGTAGGGAGAGGAACTGCAAGGCGTCCTTTGGGGGTGACCAAAGGGAGAGATACCGAGAGACACCGGGAGAGAGACAAAGGCGCGGACTGATTGTTCTGGAGCGGCGCCGGCGACCGGGCGTGCGAGGCACGTCGCGTCCCGCCCAGCCTGTTGAGTAGGTAGAGCGAAGCGAGCCCAGGTGTCAGCGCCGCGGCCGCGTGTGCCGTGGGCGCACTCGCGCGGGGACCGACAGGTGCCACAGCAGGGTCGCCTCTCCCCACCGCCGCCCGCCCCTGACGCCCTCTCTCTCTCTCCGTTCGCAGTGCGGATGTGCGAGGTGCGCCCTGGAGCTGCAGGAGACCCAGAAACGCCGCCCCGAGGTGTGGGAAGCCAGCAAGTGAGTGGCGCTGTGGGGGCTCTCCAGAGAGGCCGCCCCTCTCCCGGGACGCCGGCTCGGCTTGTCCTCCTTCCCCTCCAGGGCAGCCTCCCGTGCGCTCCCGGCTGCCCGGCCCTGGGAAGCCGGCGCCGGGTTCCCACGCTGGGGAGGGGCGAGAGAGCAAAGGAGACGACGCCCGGGGGCCCGGCTCAGGGCCTGGGGGAGGAGCGCTGGCGCGGGTGGGCGCCGGGCCGCGCCGCGCTGGTGGCTTCGCTCGCCGGGCCGGCCGTGAGAAGACGCGGGACGCGCCGGGGCGCTGCTCTCCCACGACCGGGGCGCCGCGGCCTCGGAGCCCGCCAGCCCCGTGCGGCGGCAGCGCCGCGGCCTCCCGCGCACCGGCGGGCGAGCCCGCGCTCCCGAGGGATGCCCCGGCCTTAGGGGCGGCCGGGCTTGAGGCCGCGCCCCGCTTCGCTGCAACTTCCCCCGGCGGCTGCTGCGCGGGTAAGCGACGCGTCTTCCTGCAGAGCGAGCGCCGCGGGCGCTGCATTGCCCAGAGGAAGCAAACTTCCAGCGGGCTGCCCGGGGGCTCCGCGAAGTGTGTGCGGGTGCACGCGGTGTGTGTGTGTGCGTGCGTGCGTGAGTGTGTATTACTGCTTAGCAGTCTCATTTCTGTTTGCACCGTGACTGAGGCGCTTTGAAAAACAGCGGCCAGCGGGGTCACCACGGTCCCTGCGCCTCTGAGTGGGCGGCTGCGAGCCTGTCGCCGAGCTGCCCTGGAGCGGCATTTGTGTGAGGGGCTGCGTCGCGGTGTGGTCATGTGATTCAGGTTAGGGATTTCACGAGTCTTCCTTTTTTACTCATCGGTCTGCACATGGTCAGTCCTTCGTTTTGTACTTTATAAACAGTTTACATCTTCTGAAGTAAACCAGAAGATCGTACGTCTCACTTAGGTGACTGGTTGAAGACACCTTGGTTTGTGACCTATTGAAACCCAGCTGGGTTTTAAATAGGACAATTTTTTTTTTTTTTCATTTCCACTTCACTGATAACACATCAGAAGTTAAGTCCTCCAGTGGTGATTTCATTAAATATCTGCCTACTTACCAGAGATGATCTTGGAAGGAGCATGTTAACTTTCCCGTTGCATATAGACAAACATCGAAGCACTCGATGATAGAGACCAGATTTTTATATCTTGGTTCACAGTGTAGAAGTAACCGTTTGCTTTTCCTAAAATATAGCTATATGTTTTTCTTCAGGAGTGATCATTTCAGGTACTGTATTTTGAATGGTAAAAAAAAAAAAAATCAACACTTGTTATGATAGCAACAATATAACAGCAATAAGGATGTCTGGAATCCCAGAGCAAAACTTAATTTGTCTAAAAGTCATCTAAGCTTTATTACGCCTTCGGTGGGGGTTGTATGTACAGTCTATGCTTTGTTCAGTCATGAAACAACTGAGTCTGTGGGTCTGCTTCAAGGGATCTTGAGGTCTGCAAAATTGTGCTCGGACATTTAAGTTGCTGCATTTTTATCGAGATGGTAGCGCCCTCGGATATCCAAAGGGTTCTGTGACCTAATAGGAAAATTAGAACCAAGGAGTTGAAACATGTAAGCCACACTTTTTCTTGTCAAAACAACAAACTCACTAAATAAAGCCTGCAGATGCAGACTAGTAGGGGAAAACTCTAGAATAATTAGTGTTGCAATAATTAAACATTCCATGTAAAATAGACCGTTTGTATGATTTTAAATGCATTAGTTAGGAAACAGGTCTGTGAAGTTTACTTAGTAAAAATTCGTAATGAATAGATGAGACCTGCTGTTTCTTCATGTTCTGTAAGATCTTTTTCTACTACACGACAGAAAATAATTTTTTTTTTTGTCTTTGAAATCCAACCAAAATGTAAAGTACTTATGCCTGGTATGGTGTTTCATAGTGTACAGAGTATAAATAGTCCCTCCAAGGCCCTGTTTATAGGTGTTCAAATATAAAATAACATGTTTATGATAGTTTTTTTTCATTCAGAGAATGAAGAAGAAAATACAAAGTTATTGTATTTATATATGGCAAAATCAAAGATAAAAGAAGTGCGGAAAACTTTACAACACTCAGTACTAATAAGCATTTTGATAAGCTGTTTTAGTTAATATTATATTTTATAAACATAAGTGATAGCATTCAAATTAAATTATATTTCTTATGAATCATCAATAAAATATTATTGTGACTAACTTTTAAGAATTTTGTCATAGACATTTTTGAAACAAAATTTTTAAAAAATTTAAATTTTTTGCTAACATCACTTTTATTGACACATTAAGATATTGTATAACTTTAGATTTTTTTCAGAAACCATACAAGGGAAATTAAATCCTGTATTTACCTTTGCTAACGATTAATGAGTGTGGGGTGAAGAGAATATTTATTTTTTTACAAGTTAGTTTAAAATAGCATGATATGTACCCCCCAAAAAAACTTAATCTTTTTTCAGAAATAATTATCAAATTAGCAGTAATAATGAATATCTATAAGTAAGGGGAAATGGAAAGGAAAACAGTATTTTGATAAAACAAGTCAAAAAGTATGTTATTGATGAGAAAAAAATTTGGAGAAAGTAGTTATTTAGAATGACTTTGTATATGTCAGATTCACTAAGAAGTCACTTGGCATTTTTTCATTGCTGGGATGTTCAATTTTTATGGCACTGATGTTCATACAAGTTAATGAGAAATATTTATCCAGATAAGTTTTCTTACACAGATCTATTTATTACTTTTCTGCACATTTGTAAAAGGAAATTTTTTTAAAGTATTAATAATAATGATTTTCATCTCTAGGCCATCTACATTCATTCTGTAATAGTTTCTTTGGGTGTGTCCATTTAAAGGTGATAAAAGAAGAGCTTTTGGCAATTTTTAGTTCTTTTGTTGAACCAATTTAGTTGCCCATAAACTAGTTGATGTACTTAGGGTTGGAGTAATTCATTGGCTATCCTGAATCATATCTGCTTCTTTTAATTTCTTTCACAACATTGTGAAATGTCTTACCTATTTTGTATTTTTTCTTCTCTCCTGGGTTCAGACCAACAGGCGTCATCTTCTTATATTTTGGGGGGCTTCTAGAATATTAACAGAATTATTTGGGAAGAGTGAAAGGCTTTAGGGCTAGCTTCACCTTCAGGAGAGAATGACTACATTATAACACTTGAGAGACTTTGAGGTATGGTCTATCTTGTCACAAAAATGTGCCTCACTGTGGGTAGTTACTAACTTGTCTTACCTGGCATGCTTTCTGGCCATTAATAGTCTTTCATTAAAGCAAAGCTTCCTTTTTATAAAATTGAAGCCAACTCAAATTAGTTAAGTCACGTACCAACTCCTCCATCTCCCCATAGTAAGGATTAAGGAAGTCGACACTAGACAATGGCTTTGGGAGTGAACGCCCTGGAAAAAGGAAATGGGGCAGACCCACTGCTTAATCCTGAATTTTTTTTCTAGGTGCAACCTATTGGCATATCTCCTTTTGCTATGCCACATTATATCGCGAAAGTACCTGTTTAAATGTCTGCATCTCCTACCAAACCCGAATCTCCCTCAAGGTTTCCATTGTTGAATTCACAGTACTTGGCACATAGTAGGTGTCTAGTGAGTTTGACATTGTTGTTTTGTTATTCTTGAATTAAGGCTTTTTTGTACCTTGATGCAGTAGGTTATTTGATTTATGATGACCCCACATGGACCTATAGTGTTGGTTATATAGAGACCTTTCTGTGCTCTTTTCTTATATAGTTTCAGAACTGCTTATAAACTGTTATTTCTTTCACCAGCAATTTCAACTCTGCTCTAATCCTCAAATCTCTTGCCACTAGACCTATCAGAACCTGCTTTTCCAATTTTAACTTCACATTTAATGTCTACTTCACCTTCCTTGCTTTGGATTTAGCTGAGGAATGTGATATAACTGTATCTTATGGTCAACTACTAATTGATTCACTCCAACTTCAGCTTAGGGGATGCCTAACGGTACTATGAAGTTATTTCATGGTTGATTCCATATCAAATTCTCCATAATACATATTCTGAATTTTTCCTGGTTTTCTAGTCCACTCAGATTATCGCCATGGTGGAGGATCACATTTCCTAACTCACAGAGAATATTAAGGTCAATTTTGGCAAATTATTTGTCAATACTCATCTTGCATATAATAGGCATTTCTTTATTTGACCATTTCTGAGCATAAGAACTCTCTTATATCTAACTCTACTATTTGTCTCTATACTATTCATATCCTTATTTTAACCTCTTAAAGTGCTTATACAAAATGCTTTTACCTATAGTGACTTTTGCAGTCTCAAGGGTAATGCTCAGTTTCTTCAACTCATGCTTATTTGGCATGGGGTGAGAGTCTCATTGTCATTAGGGAATTTCTTCTTGCATTCTTATTTTTCGTAAAGTGTGGTCCCCAGAGCCGAATGTAGAGGACTGTCCTAATATCATCGGTTATATTGGGTTATCTCCTCTGAATACCATATGGTAAATCAACCTAAAATCCAATCTACCTCTTTTTTTTTGCACTTATACCACACTGTTTAATTATGTATTTCTTTTGTATATTCTTCTGCAAATATGCTTCTTCTCCCCAGTTTTATGTTTGGCCACTTGATTTGGGACTTTTAAAAATACTTATTGCAATTAAGTTTAATCTTGACCTTTAGTTAGCTATTGCTCCAGAAGGTCAAGGTCTTTTTTGGATTTTGATTCCATAATACAGATTAGCCATTTTCCCCAGTTTAGGGGAATTGATTAGGATATAATTAATGTCTTCATCCAAGTGACCATCTAAATTACTGAACTGGAACTACATTTGGCATGATCCTAGACACATTTCTTTAAGTTAGACTCCTGCTTTACATTAGTCCATAAATCGGTCCTTTTTATAAGTCTGTTCAACCAGTTATATAGTCAAATAACTTTCTTTCTTTGGAGTTTATATTCCTTGTGTGGCCTAAGAGTAT